TTCATGTTGAGGAATTTGCCAAGCCCTTCTGCGAGTCTGCTCACCATCTGGGTTTGAACCCACCCGCCCGCCCACGCACACGCAGAAATCCCAGGATTGCCGCAAAATACGTTTTGTTTCGAGCGACTCGATCCGTCCTCGGCTCAAAGCCATCACCTCGGTGACGACCAGAATCCGTGTCAGGGCAGGCGAGGTTCACGTCATTGTGTTCACGTCATTGTGAATGGGGGGGAAGATACAAGCAGAACAGAAACTTGATCATGATGCAGGCAGCCCCTGCCAGTGCCCAAGTTGACGTATAGTTACATTCTGTTTCTGTTTGGCGCAAGATCTGAAGGATCAGTATGTAAGATTTCAGCTAGGTAAGTCCGTTATGTTTGTCAAACGTCCTGTACTCTGACTCAGAGCCACCGCAAGGAGAGGTGCGGCAATCCAATGTTGATTGTTATTTGGGAGCCATCGAGGACCATTAAGCGCCACAGCCTTTCGCAGCTTCCCTTGCTATGGCTTTGATTCGGCCAGGGGAATCCCTATTTTGGCGGTATTCTGGTGGACGCCTTCCACGCCAAAGAAAGTGCGCTCGCGAGAAAAGTCCTAGTTTTCAAAAGGAGGCTGCCAAATATCCACTTGTTTTAGAGTCTAGTCTATATGAAAAAAAGCCTGGTTCTCCATGCCTCCTCTTTTATAGTCAGGGATTGACACTCATTTCCAGGTCAGGCGGCTCTTTGGTGTACTCCCGCGCACGCGCACGTCCGGAGTGGCCGGCCGCGGAGGAGCCTCGTCCAAAGATCTGACCCTTTTGATGGGTTTACCCTCTCACCAACCAAGATGGATGAGTGGTTCTAAGGGTTTCCTGTTCTGCTTTTTTTCTTCTTGGTTTTGGGGTTGGCAAAAGAGCAAAACAATGGGAGACGTGATCCGGAGAACCTGGTCGAGAATGTGATTCGCGCGCGAATCCTGAATCCCGAATCCCGAATCCCGAAAATGTGAATCCCGAATCCCGAATCCCGAAACTGTGATTCGAGTCCCGAATCCCGAATCCCGAATCCCGAAAATGTGATTTAATCCCGAAATGTGATTAAATCCCGAATCACGAAATTGGCAGCGACCTCCGGATCGCCACTCAACAATGGGCAAACGCAACTGTTGGGGTCCCCCGCCAAGCTCACTCACTTCCCACACAGAACCGAATTGACAGCGGGGGTTCCTGAAAGATCATGTTCTAAGCAACCCTGGGGGTGACCGTTGGTGTCAAGGGGTGGCAACCTATATATATATATATATATGTATGCATTATGCAGTAAATTCGTTAACATTGGTTTGCATTTGCGGCACGACCCCAGGAATAATTTGAGGACCAATCCGATCTCCCTCTTTCGCTGGGCTGAAATCGTACAACAATGAAGTCCTGTCTTTCTTGAAGCGCTGGATGCGTTGAACGATGTAAAGGCCAACAAATACAAACCTTGGTATCCTCCGATCATAAGCTTATTCAGCTTAATAGTACAACCCCATTCAAAGTATCTAGGCCCGTACAGCAGGTGACTGGTACTTCTCCCCCCAATTCCTCCCGGCCCGCTCTGCCGGGAGGAAACCAAAAGCCCGCCATCCCCTAAAACAAGTTGAAAAGGCTCCTTCTGGGAGCGCTGGAAGGTTGCTCATTCGGCTGCAGGCAGAATGACCCCTTTTGCTTTTTCTGTGGTTGGACTTGTGTCTCTTGATGTCTCAATCTGCCTGAAGCTCCCTCCGAGTGGCATCTTCCTCCTGGATGGGAACCACTGGCGCAGCGCCCCTGGAGCGGAGTCCGATTCTGTCGGACGGCACTGCCTCCCCAGAAAATTCAAAATGTTCAGCAAAGCAATGGACCAAAGTGACGTCAGTGGCTTCCAAAGGGAGTTAAACACCTTAGCAAACAACAAATGTGGTCAAAGAGGTTGCCTGTGTCTGCATGCAGAAGAAGATACACCTTCATTGACGAGCATGACCAAAAAGAAGCAAACAGGATTACGTTGATCTCTTGAACCTCGCACGAGGAGTCGTCTGATGTTCACGTGTAGGTGCCCTTCACACCTCGCACCCTCAGTTCTACTGCACCTGGCTTGCGCAATGTAATCTGCGCAGTTCCGTGTGGCGGGAGGAGGAACACCCCCAAGAGACCTATCACGAATAGGTGACCCGTTTTACCAATGTAATTTTCGCACCTCGGCAGAAACAACCTCCGGTCATAACAGTAGCAAGGCAAGCATGCTGCATTCAATAGCACAGTCTAAACATCAGAAGGGACAATAACTGCTTCCACTTTGAAGTAGCGGCGCTCGGAGGGGGAGAAGCTTACGCTTCACGAGGCCCGTGGCAAACAAAGATTGCCATAATTACTGCGGATGGACAAAAACCCCTGCACCTGGGATGGATTTCTTATGAAAGCTGGGGCAAACCGCCTACCAGCTGCCTGCGGAGTGTGTCCACTGAGTCCGGAGCTGGGTGTAGGTTTGGTATCTTTGGAGGAGCTCCCGAATGTCCATCGCGGCCTGGACGTTGAAAAGAGCATGTCCACTCCCAAATCAATACCAAAAGAGAAAGGGCAACGACAAAACCCGTGGCCTTGTCTAGAAACACGTTCGTCCCCTTGGTGGAAACCATCGAGTGAAGCTTTCTGAGTTGCGGCCAGAACGGCGCCATGGCCCTCGTGAGTTCTCACAAGGCTCAACCGAGTGGCCCCCCCACTTACGGCAATCAGTCAGAAACCTCTGTGGTTGTACCAAGTCATAGGGGCCTATGAAGTCAGAAACCCTGGTCTAGCCCGTCCCCTTTCTTCTGATCTTGACCTTTCAGCACCCAGAGGACCCCAAATGCGTAACGGAGGCCTCGTGAGAGGCCAAATAAGGCCGAATTTGGAAATAAGGCCAAATGCAACAATGAGATATTTGGATCGCTGAGAAAAGCAAGCTGGTCGTCCCCATCTCGTAGCTGTAGCACCCCTCACCCACTCTACTTCCCCCACTCCCCACTTCCCACTCCCCATATCCTGCTCGAGACTCTCTCTCCACACTCCACAGCGCGCCACGTGAATCATGCTAATTCACCAACCAGAACAAAATGGCCTCCAAGAAACCTTCTGAAATCCGTCGCAAGCCAACGCAGTGCGGACGGCACGCCTCCCGCGCCGTCTGCGCCCCCGAGGGATGCCGGCGCCGCAATGCGCGCATGGGATTCCCTGCCAGTGACTCCCCACCTCACAGGCACAGTCGGGGTGACGCGACCCGAAAGCAAAACAACTTGGGCCACCCCGCAGCTTCTTTGTCTATAGTGACTCCGCCGCGCATGCGCGGGGGGCGGGGGGTGCGGTGGTGGCGGGGTGGGCCTGTATGATGGCCTCGTGTCTGAACAGCCGAGCCGTCAAGTCCACTCGGCTTTTGCCGGAGCCCGGAACCCAGGAATCAGAACCCCCCGGTTGATTGATGGGGTGTGTCTCATTTAAGGGGATTCCGTCGCATTCGAACGGCCCCTGAAGTATCTAACAGGTAGCTTGATCTACATTCCAGTTGCTCCGGCCCGAGCATTTGGATGTCAATTGGACACATCCCATTTGTCACAGGAATTCTGGGGGCAGTATGATATATGTTGGCCCTTCTACGGGTTGATCTCGCATTTACCATCCTTCAAAAATCCGCTGTTTGCCTGAGTTCGGCGGTCTGGAAAGGATCCCTGGAAAGAAGGGGGTAACCCTCTTTACAATCAAAGCGAAGGATGGTCCAAGAGGCAGGTCAGCTCGCTGGCCGCATCTGTGGCCACCAACTCCTTGGAATAAAGCGCCGGGAAAAAGGCGATGGATGCCCGGGCCGGGACGAACACGTGGGGTGCTGGGGGAGTTGTTCCTTTGGCTTCCCTTGGTTCGCCTTGGCTTTTCTTGGTTTCCCTTGGTTTTTGGGGCTTCCGTTTACAGGATCCATGGATCCCAAGATGTGGGTGTTATCACACCTCGTTGCATACTAGGACGAAATCCATGGCCGCTTCTCCTGCCATTCAGGTTGCATTGTCCACAAACGGCACTGCCAGCACATTTGCAAACATCAGCCCAGGTCAACAGGGCACGGCATTGGAAGCTGGGTTGCTTGATACATCACGCAGATAAGAATTGTGCGATGTGTGTACAGGGCGTACTGGTGCCTGCGTCGCAAGAATTGGAACAAAGACGACATCTGTGGTCCATGGAGTGCAATGTGCATGAGGGTGATACATGTGATGCTAGCAGCCACGGCCGCTTCCTTGCAGTAGGTTATCCACACACTGCAAATACTAAAAACCAAAAGCATGATTAATCTGCCAAGAACACAAACACATATCCAGAGTGTTGAGGAGGAAATGCCGTGCTGGGCAAGCCAGAAGATCTGTTTGCATAATTACAACTCAATCGGTGTTTCCCAAATCACAAACACATCCCATGCCAAGCAGTGCAGCGGTGCTTTCGGCCCCAAACAGCCAAACTGTTGGTCTTTGGCCACCGGCAAGTTCCAAGTTTCCTCTGTGATGCAGTGGATGATAACGCACAAACCTGACACAAGCGACGTAAGAAACCTTCAAGATGTTTGCTGGCAATACTAGAAGCTTGGGTGGGTGTTGTTGACTCTTGGGTGCGGATTAAAGTGAAAGAAGCGCCTGGCTCCGCCGAACCAGAAACCACTGCACGTCTGCGCCTCGAAGTTCAGGCGCGAGGTGGCTGTGGCGGGGCGCCCGTCGTCGCGGGTCCTCACAGGCGGAGAAGGACACACTCCGCCCATCCACACGGAACCATCAGAAGCATCGCCTTTGGCAGGAATCCCTTTTGGGTTCGGGGAGGAACCCTTCCTTCATCCCCAGATCCAAAATCGGTCAGGAAGGGCGTAATTTGAAATTTGGTATTCAATAGGTACCGAAGAGGTTGACACACTTGGAAGCAGGTGTGGAGAGCAGTTCGACATATGTTGGAAATATGGAAACTGTTCATGGAATCCTTGAGGCAAATGAAACCGAACCCAACTTCTGGGCAAGTGCGGCCACCAGTGTGCGCCTGCGATCCGGCGGCTGCATGGTAAAGCCCGGGCGCGCGGTGAATGCGTGGCCGCCCGCATTTCTCCTGAGGCTTGCGTTGGAGAGTCAAGACTCCGTAAATGTGAGCGCAAAGCTATCGGTACATGAAAACTAGAGGAAAACCACCTTGGAAGGGTCCGTATCGCGATTGGAGACCCATATTCATATTTAAACAAATACATGGACGACGTGAAACCACCAATACTGTGCACAACCTGCGTGGCCTTCGTCTCAACCAACATCTACCCTTAAAGGCAACCCCAATGTAGACGATCGGGAAGTCGCACTTTGGTCTGAGCCAACCACCACGTCCTTATAATGATTTCACCAACAACCAAATGGGTCTGCCTGAAAAAGGTGAATACTCATTTGGGAGGTGACACAAGATCTGTGGAACAAACAAGTAGAGATTTGGTCCCTCGAAGAAAGCCAAAGAAACCGGCAAACCCATTTGCTACCCTTGTGTGTAGCTAAAAAATATCTTCAGAGAAATCCTGATGTTTGAAGGGCACACTCTTTCTGATTGAGCATTTTCCAAGGGAGACCCTTTTTTTCCAAGCAATGTGAAAGAGAGATCCCCCCCCCCGCCCTCGCCCCAAACTATTTGTGCAGAGACGCTGTCGCAAAACTGGGGACAAAATCCCACCCAGCATTTTGGACAGCATTTACTGAGCTGTCCTCAAATCCCCGCTAAAAGTTTAACTTTCAGTGGGCTAAATGGAAAACCCCACTAAACACTGAAAAGCTAAAGGTTTTAAGGAGGGTTTTGGACCTGGGGGGAAAAAAAAAGGTCGCTGGCGGCTCGCTTCGCTGCCTCGCCCGCTTCAGCTGCTCCACCACGAGCTCGGTCTCGTCAGGCTCGCCGACGAAGAGCCCCGCCCCAGTCTTGGCCTAACGCCGGGCGCCGGGCGCTGGGCGGGGGGGGGGGGGAGGGCACGTGGCTCGCCCAGAGAGGGGTCCTCCGAAATGGGAAATATCTGGGCCAATGAGTCTGGTTTGCACATTGGAAAAAAGGAACGGCGCAAACAGGTACGGCGCCATGGAATAACATACCCGCATGTTCAAACCATCCAACAATATTTTACACTTCGCTGAACATCCGAAATACACAAGCTGCGAAGAGGCTGCAGAGGGGGCGAGGCCACAGTAAACATCCGGAAGCTGCGCGCCCCTTTGGGATGCCCTGCCACCAATTTTTTGGGGCCACAGCGAAGGTCAAGGCTTCAGCTGTTCATTGTGGTATTATGAGTATTAGTATTATTATTAGTATTATTATTATTATTATTATTATTATTATTATTATTATTATTATTATTATTATTATTATTATTATTATGGTTATTATTATTATTATTATTATAATTGTTATTTGTTGTATTATTATTATTCTTATTTTTAGTATTATTATTATCATTATTAATATTATTAATATTAATAATAGTATTATTATTATTATTATGGTGTTATTATTATTAATAATAATATTCATATCATTATTATTAATATTAATATCATTATTATTAATATTAATATCATTATTATGACTACTATGAGTATTATTATTACTATTATTATGATTATTATTATTATTATCATTATCATTATCATTATTATTATTATTATTCTTATTATTATTAGTATTATTATTATCTATAATTAGAATGTTATTATTTTTATTATTTTTATTATGTCTTTTCATTATTATTATTATCATTATTATTATTATTATTACTATTATTATTATTATTATTAGTATTATTATTATTATTATTAGTATTATTATTATTATTATTATTATTATTATTATTATTATTATTATTATTATTGTTATTATTAGTATTATTATTATTTATAATTAGAATGTTTATTATTTTTATTATTTTTATTATTTCTTTTCATTATTATTATTATCATTATTATTATTATTACTATTATTATTATTATTATTATTATTATTATTATTATTATTATTATTATTATTATTATTATTGTGATTATTATTATGTTTTTTTTTAATTATTATTATGTTTTTTTTATTTGTATTGTCATTATTATTATCATTATCATTATCATTATTATTATTATTCTTATTCTTATTATTATTATTATTATTATTATTATTATGAGTTTTATCATTATTATTATTATCATTATTATTATCATTACTATTATTTCTGCAACACTCCGGGGTCAAAGCTTCAGAGCTCCAAGCTTCGGGAATCCAACTTGACCTTGCCACCACTGCGAGGTTCAAGTTTCAGGGGTGCATTTTTCAGGTCCTGTGCCAGCACACCGGGTTTCAATTTTGAGGGGTTCATTCTTGCGAAGCCGCATGTGAAGTATTGTGAAGTATTTATACTACCTCCAACACCAACCCTTGGCCCGGCCCCAGGTCTTCACAACAGCGGATGAACAAGTGAAGCACTCTACCTCTGTCCTCCTGCCAGGGTCTGCCCTCCATGTATATTTGTAGGCACCGTATGGGGCCTTCATGGGAGATCCTGTGATCCACATTTGCAAAGAAATTGCAATCAACGTATGGCGTTCAACTCTTCTGGCTTGACGCCCCAAATGCCAATTCTTGTGGCGAATCCAAGGGGCGGAGCTGTCTGCGAAGCCGGCAACCAGCAGTGGGTGCCTCTTCAGCATGACAAGCCGTGTCTGCAAGCGATCGATTCGCAGGAGATAAAGCAAGTTTCAACCATGGCTCTTCTGTTGGTTCCGTATCTCAGCCATGTGATCCCACTCGTCTGCTCAAACTGGAGAGTTGGGAAGCCAACAGCAAGGGTCACAGGAGTTTGCAACCGACGCAGGTTGCTTTGCGGTGGATGCCACAAACACTGCAATGGAAACCAAGCGGCTGCTCAATCAATCAGCGGCCCTTGCATAGTCGCACTAGTTGTCCTTCTTGTTTGGAGCCAGGGTTGTGGTCAGTATAGTTGGTTTTGCAATACTTAGGGCATCCGCCATACACACGACCAAACGCCTGGGCTCTGCAAGCTCCGCCACATCCTCCTCATCCAACGATGCCTGGCACGTAAAACAATATGATTCTGGGATGGTTTATCCTTTGGAGGGAGCCCATTTTGGCCTTCAGTTGGGGACGGTTTGAAGGGAACCCGAAAAGGAAACCGCCCCTTTCGAGATTCCCTAACTGGAGACAACCCCAAAAGAAAATCGCTTTTGGGATGAATGCCAAATGCAAACCACCCCAAAGGGGTGCGTTTGTGTTAAGCGTGGAAGCTCACATGCAAATCAACAGCAAACAAATCAACAGAGATACCAATCAGAACCGGTCGGGGACATATCCAGCATATAACAGTGCAAGGCCGACCTCCTTTGGGGGTTGATAATGTTTATTCATGTCTTTCTTTCTCTCTGTTACTTTCCCCTCAGCCAGCAACTTGTGAAATTGCATGTCAGGGATATCCCACCAGGCAACACAAGTAGTTAGTTGCTGACATCTTCTACGTTCAGCACTAAAGCTAGGATCGTCTGTACTACCAATATGTTCCTCAGACATCCGGGCGGTCAACTGGGTAAGCACCATTCCAATGCATGCGGCCAAAAGTGGGCAGGATATTTCTTGACGTGGTGCATGGCTTTTCTTTGTTCCTTACCAAGACTTGTTTCGAATCATGTTAAATCCGGCTGAGCTGCTGAGTGCCTTTTTGATGTGTGGATTCTTGAGAACGTAATACACATCGCTGTCCAAATCACAACCCATTTCGTCACTGCCATGTCTGTGCACATACATCTGTGGCTGTGATAAAGCCGTGTTAGCCGCCTTTCACATGTGGCTGGGGTCAGCAGAAATTGCAAACATGGCTTCTTGTCCACTTTTTGCGAAGCCAAAACAAAACACCACTGGCGTGCCGTGTGTAGCCCTTTTCTCTTGGCTCTTTCTACAATTTTGGCACTGGCAAAGTTACAGACACCTAGCTCACCCTGAGCGAGGTTTTCTTCAAGCCGCCAATGTTTCCGTGTACCATGACGCTTGGCTGTAAACTCCCGCCTCATGCTACTTGTTTAGCCCCTACTCCTTTCACCATGACTGGGTGATTGATTGGGTTTGGTCAGTTGTGCGTCAAAACTCATATCCAAGTGGTGGGCTTCCTTTTAGTATCCTTGTACAACTGGGCACGTCTTCTTTGAGCACACCTGTTTGGAAAGGGAATTCAGAGGGAGTCCACCTGTGGGGATTCCTCTCGTCGTCCGCTGCCGCTGGACAGCGAATGGCAGTCATCCTTGGCGCACACTTGCAATCGTCTTTCTGGCCTCCCAATCACAGCGGAATAGTTCAAGAATTGACAGAACCAAAGAGCCAGAGTGGCTACCTCTTTCAGTGCTGGACATCCAAGGGGGCCAAAGGGGCCTATCCCTAGATACGCCCAGGATAAGCTGAAAAAGATAAGCTGAAAAATAAGCCCTTAAAAGGGCCGTATTAAGGAGGGTTATGCGCAATAGCCCCTACCCATAGCGGTCCACGATGCAAGGACGCAGATCCTTCATAAACCTGGGTACATGACAATCATTCACCGGGACAAGTTGTGTTGTCCAAAGCACACCACTTTCGCACGGTGGACACGGGAGCCTTAGGGGGACCTTATTACATGAGAATGTATGTTCATCAAAGCAGTTTGGAGTTTCGCGTGCGTTCCAGACCATACAAATGTTCCCAAATTTATCATGGTCATGGTTCCTTTTTTGGGCAACCTTCTACGTTGGTTGTTTAAAACCAGCAACAGGTCCATGGCCATCCCTAGCAACCTCAAGGGGTCACGCAAATCTGCCCACACAAAGGCCAGCCGAGCGGCCCCCAGGTCATGATGCCGGCCTCGGAAGAATCTGCGTCGAGGCCATGTTTACTCTTCATTACACTTCCGTCCACATAAAACCTATCAGACAGCCCTTTTGGACCCAACTCAAGATGTCACTTGTAGATTCTCCACAGATGAACAAAAATACAAACCCAAGCTTAAGCAGACCGCGAACATTAGCATGTCAAGGTCGTCCAACTTGAGGGATGACAAGCCAACTTCATCTTGAGATGTCAACAAAGGCCCCATTCCAACTCTCCGGCACTGTCACACATTCACTGCCAGGCCACAGAGATGCGATCCCAGCCTCAGGCTATCGGATCCGATGCCCCGTCCAGAAAGGCTTGTTTCAGCAGGTGTGTGCGTGTGTGTGGCACAAACGGTAGAATGTACACGTGTGAGCATATGTATGTATATAATATTGATATAGGTTACACACATATACATATATACACTGATACAATACATGTATACGTGCTTGCCCCCAAGTAAAGGAACTGATCTTTTGACCAACCACATGTGAATCAGTGAAGGGACTTCACAAACCGTGCTGTTTGGGCCAACTTCTGCCACAACTGCATGTACAAATGGGAGCTGTTTGGGGCTAAGGCTTGACGAGGGCACGAGTTGCGTACAAGACGTCGATTCAGTTTCGAAAACTCGTCGTCGGGTGCCAGGACAGATGATTGCTTGGAGCACATGTGTGGCACGCAGATGACCTTCTTTTGCTGCGCCACCCTCTTGGAGAAGCCAGGTCCGGTTATTTTCACGTTCTCGCTCGGCACTCCCCAACCGTGCCCTTTTCATATGAGCAGGTGTGTGTCTTGGAACAGTGCAGCCACGACCCTTCCCATTCTAGCATGAGCTTGCAAGTTTAAAACTTAGCCCCGATGAATGCTCCCTTTTCGCTTGCCATTCCTTTTGATGCGCCCTTTTGCATTTGAGCAGGTCCGTGGGATGTGACAGTGCAGCCACGGCCCCTTTTGCTTTAGAAATTGGCACCATGGGCCCTAGTTTACAAAAACTTTTGTTTGGCCAACATATGCTGCCAGCTGTGTCTGTGATCCTCTTAAAGCACAGAGGTGGCACGCAGAGAGCCCCCCTTTTCGATAAAGCAGGTCCAGTTACTTGCGTGTTTTCGCTCGGCACTGCTGAGCCACAACCTTTTTCATGTGAGCAGGTTCGTGTCTTGAGACAGTGCAGCCACGAACCTTCCCATGTCCTCCCTCACACAGTGATTTGCATCCCCTCGGCACCAATCCGTGTTCGCCCTAGCATGAGCTTGCCAGTTTAAAACTGAACCCTGACGAGCACTCCTGTGCCCTTTTGCTGCGTACCCTTTTCGCTTGGCATACTTTGCCGAGCCCTTTTTATTTGAGGTGGTTCGTGACTTGTGACAGTGCACAAAAGACATGTTTGCTCTTGCGATGGACATCATAGGCCTTAGTATGCCTGGGTGCTCCATGGACGCACGGTCACTTTGAGATGGACAGATGATTGTTTGGCGGAAACGAACCAGTGCGCGGTTTTATCCGCAACCCCAAGCAAAAGGAGGCTACCCCAAATGGGTGTGCTTTTGAGGGTGGGTTGGTTGGGGAAGCAAAAAGCACCTCCACCTGTCTGTACGTACCGAAGTCTTGACACAAGTGCCTTCCGAGCCGCGGCTCATCATCCAGAACCTCCAGGCTGGGAAGCAGCTCTAAGATGCCTTCTCGCGTCAGCCGATCCCTGCGGCATGGGATCAAAGCCACAAAATGCCAACCAAACATGGGTGAGAACCCCATTCCCTGAAACATGCGAGCGAAAACTCGCCCCAGAGGCACTTGCCATGGCTTTCACTAAATGATGTGACTGGACGGCAAGTTGACGCTTGCTCCTGACCAAAATCGGATGTCCAGCATCAAGGTCTGCAGCAGGCATCCACTCCCTACCCGCGTTCAGGGACAGCAGGGGCCCCCTTTTACTTTTGGTCTACGCTTCAGTCAAGGGAAACTTGGCCAAGAGAAAGGCAAAACAGGGCCCAGTCTGGGCAGCTCGTTGCGAGGCGCTTGGAGCTGACAGGATTGCCACTCAGGTTCAGCTCTCCTGAGGCACCGTCAAACGTGCCGTCGACGGGGTCTCCAAAAGCAATGCCCTTTCAAGGGGTCCGAAGCAAGTGCTCTCACTTCCTGGTCTGGAGAAAACCCAATCGAGCAACACCCGCTGACTCTTGCTGTTGAACGCTTGGCGTGCCCGCACCTCAAAATTGAGTTCGCAACGAAAGCATTGATGACTCTTCCCATCACCCTCGAAGAAATGAAATCTGCGGAAACTGAACCATGTCATGTGAATGGCTGGGTCTTTTTGATACCAGCAAATCCCCAGACCAACCAGTGCTATACATCGCAGCCAAAGTCTCGTAGTCGCGGAAGACTGCCCAAAGCACCTCACGTCGCGTAATCTGATTGAGAGTCAGCGGGCATGGGCAGGCCAGCCACCCAATGGCGGCGACTCATGTGCCTCAAACTTGAATCATGGTTTGCTTCAAAGCAGGGAACCCCACAAAATGGGGCTTCCTCTTAGTTGTTCTTGAACACCAACGGGGGATACCCTCAACAAAATGGCACCCGTGTGTATCTCAAGGATCACTTGTTGCCAAGTTGGTTTTCCATTCCTTGTCGGCCCTTTTGCCGGTCCAAAGCTCTGGCATCAAAATCCACCACCCCAAACCATCCCGTCAATCCCCAGACCCTAAGCCCCTTGCACCCAGTTTTTTTTGCCGCGGTCTCAGCGCTTTCTGGGCTCTCGGCGCACGTCCTCGGCATCCGCCACCGCGTTGCCCTCAAGGTCCAAGACCTCCAGCTGCTCGCAGCCAGTAAGAGGCGTCAGGTCCTACAGCCATCCGTCCGCGCGTGAGATGGGCATGGCGGGACCTCCAGAACTGGTACGGTGCTCCTTGCGCTGTCCAAAAAAATCTGAAAAGGGGGTCCTGGCCCAAAGGGTGGTAGACAAATATATATTATCTGAACAAGTCAACACACCTGGGTCAAAAGAACAACTGCTAGCACTGGCTGATGCGAGGCGTTTTGTGTTGAAACATGATCCCAACAGCTGCTGAACTTGCTGTAACATCCTTGAATGGAGATCCTGTTTGACCCTCCGGACCCATAACCCACAAACCCTCAAACAAGCTTTAGACCAGGGATTCCGCACCAAGCGCAGAAGACGGGCCAGCCTTTTTGCTTGGCAACCATGATGGAGTTTTGCCTACACCGAACTGCTAGTCGCTGGCTGGTCCCAAAACACTGGTGTGCCATCCTTAAATGTGGCTGCAACTCTCATCTTTGCAGAATCTGTTGCAGGTGAACCGGCCTCACAAACACGACGGATTGCAAAGCAATCCTCTTCTTCTCTCATTTCTTCATCTCCAATTCGGCCCTTGGGCTTGGTTGGGGCCTCGCCTTGAGGCAACACTGGAGGCAACATCGTCTCCACCATGAAGCCGATAGCAAAGAACACGGAAAATATGTAGACGTGTATGACTTGGTCTCAAAATCGGAGAACCCAACACATGGTGGCTTCCTTTGGATTCCCTGTAGAAAGCCCCCCGGAGGGGAAAAAAAGGAAAAGAAGAAGAAAAAAAACGAAAGGTAAACTCATATTTTACTATTTGGCCTGTTGCAAGTTGAACAGCTCCTGCCTCATAGAGTTTTGCTTGGAGGGCACAGAGGTGCGCCGCATGCTTCGGAATGGGGTGTTGCCAGTTCTTCGATCGCTAGAAACGATGTGCGACTGAACTTAGCAACAACAGAACATGGCACATGTGCCTATCACAATGAACCATGCGGTTGTTATGTGTCAAGACCTTTGACACACAAAACAGAAACTTCGTTGCTGCCAAGCGGCCACTACATCGTTGAAGGACAGGTAGAACTCCCTCGCGAGAGGGCAGTACACATAAACCCACCCTGGAGGTCTCAGCCTTCACGATATGCAGCCTGTGTTCTGCGTAGACGGCGTGAATACATAAGACCGGAAAAATTGGCCAGCTTGCAGTTCCCTTCTCCACCAACTACACACGAACAAGTGGATTCACTTTCAACTCCCTGAAAGGGTACCCTCAAACAAAAACACATCCAAATACTTCGCAAGAACACGCCACACAAAGGCAAAGGTTGACTTGCGATTACCCTTGATCCGCAAAAGCCGAAGCTGACCCTGTACCAAGCCAATAAAGGGCTAGCAACAGTGATCACAGCAAAAGCAGCGGAAGCATCCAAACCCTAACCCAACGGCGGTGCCAACACCAACGCACCATCTCCACCGGTCATGTATAGGAAAATCACCTGCATTCACTAGGGCCAACGTAGTTGTGGCCCTTAGCGAAACATGCCAGCAATGGCCCACAAAAGCAGAGCGAATCAATCAAAAGCACGCTCTCATCCATCATGCCGTGCATGTTCCAATTAATGATTCACGATCCCCACTCAACTCTCACTAGCCTTCAAACTCCCCCGCGACTGTTCCCACCAACAATGCCCACACAATCCCCCACACAAATCAACGCGTTTCCCCGCAAATTCCCAACAAACATTCCAGAAGCCCATGCGTCCAAGTTGCGCTTTACACGACACACGCCACACCAAACCGCTGCTCAAGCGGATCGCCTCAGCGACGGCAGCAGCGGCGCGCCCCCCAGGTCCTGGAGTCCGCAGCGGGTCATCCACAGCACCTCCAGATGGCCCAGGCTCGAACCTCGTGCTGAGAGCCCGGTTACTGTGGGACCCAAAAAGAAACCAGCAGGAAAATGCCGAAGGGTCACGTACCATTTGGGGAACTGGGAGCTGGGTGGAGATGAAGGAGTCAGTGGATAGGGGTTTTGCCAGGCCTTTTTGCTTTTAGCTTTTGAGGTTACAAACTATAGGGTTAAAGGCAAGCCACCGGCCACCAAAGGGTTGGGCCACACCCTTCGCGTTTCAAAACCTACAGCCTGCCTTTGGGCTTCACATGTGCCCGCGTCTGTTCCTTTACTACCCACTTTCTCATGACCCAACTTGGATGTTCAAGCAGATTATAACCAAAGCTGTCAGGCGTCCGCTCACCCCAAATATCCTCCCATTCACGACCATAAGCTGCCTACCTCAGCTGCCCAACAGACCCAGAAATGAACAGTTCACCTAATGGAAACCAAACCGGAGACCAAACCGGAAACTAAGAAAGGAAGACCAAAAACTGGCCCCCCAACACAAAAAGTCCACCAGCTCCGATAAAAGCGCTTGCGTTGCTTCGCGCTTCGCTCGAGGCTCGGGCCCAGGTCCCGGAGGCTCAGCACGGAGCTGACGGAGCTGAGCTTCAGCTGCCGCAGCTGCGGCAGCTGCTGTCCCAGGAGCTCCAGGCTCTGCGTGGCCGAGTCCGCCTCCGCGCGGACTCGAAAAACCGGGGGCAAAGGGGGGAGGAGCCGGGTTCAGCTAAAAAAGGGGGGAGAATAAAAAAACAAGAATATGACCCGCCCCCTTTTTTGGGTGGTAGATGTTTTTGGAAAAAGCGGGCGTTTCATGGGGTATGTCCACCTTGTTGAGTCAGGGGTTGACATCACGGTTGGTAAGTAGTGCAGAACCCCAGTCAGTAAGTCTCCTAAGTTGGGTTTGCTCTAGAACTCTCAAAGTCGGGAAAATAACAACAGCAGCTCGAAGAGGTTCAAAACAGCAGTTCATAAGGACCTTAAGGTGGGCGCATGTGGAGTAAACCGCTGGGAGGGGGGATATGGTGGACTTTACAGTCTATGTTGTATCCACCTCCTTTTACGGGCCTGCAAATAGACTTTCCGAGTCCTTACAACTTGCCCTTCGAGAGGAGTTGGCGGCTCTGCAAAGAATGAAAAAAGGACAATATCCGGAGTTTCGCTGTTGACACTCTTCGTCCACATGACGCAGCAGGTATCTGCTGCCTGTTTTCTATTCTCGCACTGGTACATTGTTGCGCGGAAGCTGAAGCCATCGATTTTATGCATTCACAAAGAGGAAAACGCAAGAAGTGTCGCATTCCAGTAAAACCTCGCACCAAACACTCTAAGCAAGCGAGAACAAGCGAGCCGCAACCCCCATGAGATACTCAGCTTCGTGCTTCGTTGGTAGGGGACAGGTGAAGGCCGGCCGCTGCATATATCTTGCTCTTGACCAAAGCGACGGCACGTCATCAAGAATACGGACAGGTGGTCCACGCCCGGTAATCGTCCAATGTAGTACACAAGCTTCAAGAAAGCTCCCATGAGGGCTCGGATGAAGGTCATCTACGTAAAACAATTTGCTCCACATTTCCCGGTTCTCGTGATAAACCGCCAGAAACGCATTCCCGACCGGAGCGATGAGGGCAGTCATCCCGCATGCTTTCAAAGCATGCACGTATTCTTGATATCCTTCAAAGAGTCGTCTGGTGAACTCCTCCACGGATCCCAGGTCCTCCGAGCCCTTGGTGGGCCTACGATAAGCGGCGGTTTGAAGAAAAACAGGGACTGCCTTGGGACAGTGTCTCTTGAAGAGTTCAGCATACGACCGCAAGACTGCGACCGTGCTGGCACGACCTTCTGCACGAGCAGGATTCTGCGTATAGTCATTCATGACGACGTAGTCCCATGAGCTCTCAGATAGAAGGTCTTCCACCGTCTGAGACCCCTTATCTTCTCCGGCAAACTTCTCTTGCATACCATTCCCATCCAACAAGAGGGAACCGAGATTTGCTCCACCTCGGAGGCAAGAATCCTGATGCAACTCCATGGTGTCGTCCACCCCGATCATGGATTCTAGTAATCTTGGACAGTCGTTAAAGTAAAGGATCGAGTTCCCCACAAAGGCAACCCGAAGCACTTTGCTCACCACCATCTGTTTCCTCTCTTCTGGAGAAACAATGCAGCGAGATGGAGTTGCTCCGAGCGGTCGAGCAGCTCAGCCGAAAAGCTGCGGAGCGGCAAAACCGTAAGGATGTGTCATGGTTCCCAGCCTTTAAACTTGGACTTATCAATTGAAATCAACCAGCTTGTCTACCTGGCGTCTTCGTGTGCCAAAGCCAAAACGACCGAAGTTCCATCCACAAGCAATCACATCTACAGATTGGACTACCCTAACGACAGTCTTAACTGGCTTTGGCCCCCAGAAATCAGAACGACTCGCTATTCACAGTTGAGTCGGGATTCTCCATCGGAGGGCTCGGAGGTGTTGTGGGAGACGGACAAAGGACTGGCAAAGCTGCCAGGTTTGATCCTTGGGAGATGGTTCGTCCTTGGCCCGGTACCAAAATGAAACCAAGAGAACATAGAGAATTGCTTTTCTCCAAAAGAAACGGGTAGCTATTTGCGGGACCCCGAAATGCTCAGCCTGGAGAATCTCTGAATCCATTCGAACCACTCAAAGACTCCCCCCAATTTTGGCGACCTCACTATTTGGTCTTGCTGACTTTGACGCGCGTTTTTGAGATGGATCCGTGTTTAGAAATGGCAACCGACAGGGGCTTAAAAACACCCCAAATGGGGAACCTGAGCATGCTGCTGGTTGATGGCCCAAAAGACTTGGGAGGCGTGGCTGAAACCTGTGAACCCATGGGGACACGCAGAATCATTTGCAGCAAGGAAGCCTAAAGAACCAACGCTCCAGAAGGTGGTTGCGAAATAGCCCCCCACGCCACACGGAAAGCCCACTCCACGCCCAACGCCCCCGGGCGTTCGAAGCCGAACTCCAAGGTGCCTGGATCTCCAGGTAGGTGACCTGCTCAAGGTCCTGGAGCCGTTTTACATGAGACGGTGCGATTTCGAACTGTTTTGGAGTTGGCGCCGGGGGGGCAAGAGGAGAGGGCGGGAGGGGGGGTAGGGGGTAGGGGTCGGGGGGGTGTTGCTTTTCTTTTGAGGGGGAATGGTTGTGTGGTGATTTGTTTTGAGGATGGATCTTCGGGCTTTGGAAGAGGCAAAGTCGTCGGGCTGGGGCTGTCTCAAAGGGGCGCCCGATTTTGGGAGCCCATGTCCCAAAGGGTGAAGTAAACGGGGCCAACAGAGCGCAATGCAGGATGACTAGTGCGATTGGCCTGTAGAGCGCCGATTTTCTGTGCAATGTGAGTCCCCTGTTTGGGGTTGGATTGAAGGGAAACCAAATTCAAACCATCCATTTTGAGGAGCTCCGCTCCCCCTTTAGAGGCAAACCCATCTCACCTGTATCCAATTTGTAAGCCACATTTCAGTAGCAACATGCCTCCGAACAGCGACTATGAGCCTCTTGTGCGTTCACGATCGAGCGCTGCCTCTTTCCTCCCGGATAGCTCTCCCTAACCTGCACGTCCCGACCCAACTCAGTGCGCCCGATGCCTTGAGCCTTAATCATGAAAGCTCGGCTCATGAAAGTTCGGAGTTTCTTAAAATGAGGGTGTCTCCACCCTAACCTCTCCACCTCTCCACTCTCCACCTCTGCGCTGTCTCCAGCTCTCAACCTCTGTGCCTCTCCACCTCTCCACCTCTCTGCCTCTCCACGGCTATCATGCCCCACAGACGGTATCCTGGGTCTCGCAGTAGTGGCGCAAGAAGTCTGGGCTGAAGCCAGGCCCATTCTGCTGCCTCACACCAATACCATTCGTCCCGTCAGGAGACTCCAAATCGGGACCGCCCCGAAATGGGAGGGGGCTTCCTTTTGAATTCCTTCTACGCAACCCCAACACGGGTACCTTCAAAACAAACACACAACCGCATACCGTGTGAGGCAAAGAAGGTGATTTGGGAGCAAGGCAATGTCGCAATGCCCACGGGCATGAGTTTTGGATCACGGCCAAAGTGGCCAGTTGTTGGAAGCCGCGGAGTTTTAGTCATTGGCTTCCGTGTATGGCAACTGCCATCGGCCAGAGGGGAGATCACAGACAGAGCATTTGGGAGTTTCTCCCTGTGACGCCGGGCAGCAGATCCAGCTCGTGCTGCTGCGCTACGTCCACCCGCAGCTTAGGCACCCGGTCCATTCCGATGCTCCGCGATCGGATCCGAGGGATCGTAGGGAAGTCGAAGTGGGCCGGTGAGGTCGCTTTTCGACGTCTCACCCTGGAACCTCTGATGTTTGGCTTTGGAGAAGCATCCAGAGCCAGGCTGTGAGAAAGTAGGCTAAGGGTTTGGAAGTGGCATGGGACGGCACATCTTTGCGCACTTTGGGGTGGAATCTGCGTATTTGGGTGGTACGGATGCCAGCGCTTGAATGCTTGACCAAGCGCCTTCCTCTGTAGGGGGCTCATCTCCGCATGGAGCCCAAAACCCGGCAGCCAAAACCCGGCCTCAAATGCACAGACAACAAAAATTACCATCGAACATGTTTGCGAATGCTTACAATTATGTCAATTCTGTTGCTTGTGCCCAGCTGAGGACGGAAAAGAGTTGCAGTCCCCCAGACACATGCCTGGTCACATATTTCACACATGCCGGAACTGACAAACCATCCCAGGAGGAGCAAGATTTGCCTGGCCTCCTTGCATGATTTCATCAACATGAACACGTGGAGAAACACCTCGAAACGGCAATCAGGGCAGGCTCCAACCAGAATGAGCGATCACGGGACCAGTGTGCATTATTTCTACGAATCGCGAAAGAAGTATTGTCCCACATGTTCGGTTTCCCTGTAGCGCTCTGCTCTGTGCACAGCAGGGGGTGCGCAAAAAAACGTGGGCCATGCGCCACGCCCAAAGACTTCCAAACAGATGCCAAACTGCGGTTTCCTGAAACTTTCTCAGGGATCGCTGGTATTTGGTATCCCGGTATCCCCTACATCAATGAACCTGCCACTCGTTGTGAAGGTCAACGTGGACTTTGAGGAACCCGTAAGGAATCCACACCGGCGAGTGGAAGACCACACATGTCAAAGGCCGGGGTCCCTACGAGCAAGGATTTGGCCATGATCCGTGTGAGGTGTGGGCCTACTTGCGAGATCGGATCATCCATGTTTGGCAAGTCTTGCCACGAAAAGTTGTGAGCTTCAAGTTGTTCAGAGCGGAAAGGAAGTGTGGGTGAGGTCGCTTCACCCTTCCTCATACTTGAATCATCCAAATTGCAACAGTGATTTGGATTGGCCAGATACGAGTAACATGATGAAATCCAAAGGCCTTCCATGCTCAGAAATGAGC